ATGAAGCCTTAAAGTGATCAAAGATGAAAAACATACACAACATTATGTCAGTCTCTAATTACATAGAGGCAGTCCACCAAATCATCAAGCACTTAAAGTAGCATTATTCAGTATAGACACTGGAAAATCACCCTGCCACTCCATAGACTTGTACATGAAGCAAACTGTAATAGTTGTTTTATATTAAAGTTTTTGAATTCATATAAATATTCCCTTTGTTATGCAATCTCAGCACAGAGCAACATGTACCCCAATTTCACGAGTGGATAACATATTTGTATTCCATCACATCAATGTAGTGGGAGTCATCCTGCCATGTTTAGAGTGGAGGTAATCCTGTGAAATGCTGCCATTCATACAAATATACTCTCTTTAGAATCTCTGTCTTGTCTCTCTGCTCTTTCCATCCTCTACACTTAACTAGAAAATAACAAAAATATAATCTCATAATAATTATTATAAGAGCAAGTAAGGGATCCACAATGGACAACAGGACAACACACAGCTGAGATAAATCTGGAACACAGAAGCAGTATTAGTCTTTGTAATATTAGCAGTAAAGGGTTACAGTGTGAACTGTCAAATGTTATTTTCCCCACTGGATTATACTCTGTGTTGATGGCGGATAGCAGTGTCATTGTTTTGTCCCCACACCTGAAATCATAGATTCCTCTTATTTTGATTGCAGATGATACAGATATCCATGTCAGCGGTCAGAACCCTCCTCCTGTTGGCGGCAGAGGACGCCAGATGCCGTCCAGCAGAGACCCTGGCTCAAGGACCTACAACCGTGGCAACCACGGGCCTTCTGGATACCTGCCTGGTTTTGCTCGGCAAACTGAGCCCAGGATGTACAGGGTGCCGAGCCTGCAGAGACACTGACACAACAACACAAAACAAATATGGGAAAATAAAGCACTTTACTGAGAAATTCATGCTGGACTGATAGTAGTTAGTGCACATTAATCGCCTCTGTCGCCTCTGTAAAGGGGAAAAAATACATTTTTTCCCCTTTACAGTCTGTGTATATGATGAAAAGATAGATGAACTGTACTGTCACTCCTTCGTTTACTAAATATATGTTAACAAATGCAGTGCTTTGTTTTCTTTTTAATTTTACATTACAGTTCTCATGCAGTCCTTGTCTTAAAGCTATTAACCAACTAAAAGCACCCTCTGGATCTGCAGACTTCCAACAAGGTCAACAGTCCACTTCTCTATGATCTGTAGAACCATGTTTTTAGCCTGGAAATTTCAAATACCGCAAATATCTGTATTTCATCTGTATTTCTAAGAATATAAACATCTGTATTTCCAAAGAATGGCTCCAGAGTCCAGTAACCTAGCTTTTTTTTTGATCGATCAAAACAAAACTGTACTTTCTGTGTTGCAGGTTAAGCCAAATTTGACTCTATTCCTCTGGACTGATTATATTGAATGTGGGGAAAAACTAGATTGTGAAAAAAAACTCTTAAGCCTTTTTTTAAAATAAAATTTCAGATGTCTTGCTTTGAAATGATCTTGAACTGTGAAATCCAGCAATGCCTCATTTGGACATATATGAATAAAACTCAACCCTTTACTGGTGCTACAACACCAAAATATAATGGGGTCTTCCTTCACTTCTTCAGCCTTCAAAGTAACCAGCCTGGTAGTTTCTTAGAACTGTGACTGGGCCAAAGTATTAAACAATTCATTAGACACGGAGGCCATTTAACCTAACTACCAAGGGTTAAATGAATCATTCACCTCTTGCTGGACTAGATGCTCAGCTTGACTCTAATTTTTTTTATCTACATATGGTAAATAT